GGGGGAGGGGGGGAGGGTGGGATATATTCGGTTTAAATTTCGTGCTGCTTAAGACAGAAATGACTGTAATGCCAAGGGATGCGACTTCTTACTGATCGTCAATGCTCCAAATCTCTCTGTAAGCTGGTTGGTGGATCATTTTTGACTTAAACTGCTTCTATCACCTCATTAGCAGCTCCCTTAGCGGTCTGCAGCGACTTCTATTTATGCTTTAATCTTAGTGGGAAACAAGAATCCATCCATTTACCAGTGCAACTTTCCTTTACTACCGTACTTCAGAGATAAGCTCCAGCTGAAAGCAATTCGTATGTATGATTTTTAGGCCTATAGATTCTACTTTCCCCATCTCAGTTAATTAACGCCTTCTCAAACTGTTGTTTCTGCTACCTCGATCTCTCTTTGCTCACTAGATATCTCAAGCCAATAAATGTGTCTCCGACTCGAAAATAGCGTGATAAGACAGAAGTGCGGTTACCCCAAATGCACTTTATTAACTCAGTAATGACTAAATAGGAAATTTACCTGAAATTGTACTGAAGTTGGAGATTGAGGTACTCCCTAAATGGTAACAGTTTTGATCCCGAATACCGGGGTTATCCGAAAGGCGGTAATACGGGAAATTCCATTTCATAAAACTCTTTTTTTGGAACCATATAACCACCCACTCGAATAAGCCCTTACAGCTTAGTTTAACTTTAGCCTAACACTTCCAAACGCTCAAGTCACAATGGTCTTAGAGATAAAATTGCGGGATTAAGTCACAGCTTCACGACCAACTCCCCCCATCTTCCATAAATACACCAAAAATTCAAAGCCCAAATCCCTTTTTGTGTAATAACAATGATGACAGAACAGATTCAGCTTCTGTATATACCTTACCTATGTAGTTGCCCTCTCCTCCTCATTCTAGTGTCCCCAAAATCCACCCATGCTTTATAATTAGCAGTTAGGGAGGCCATTGACGCAACAATATTAGTTTTAAGAAAAATTTTTCTATTTACCGCATGATATAGTGCGTGCCTATGAAAAGAAGTTAACAAGTAAAAATTATAACATAAAGACGTTTGGAGTTTCGGGAGGCAAGCGTGTGTGCGAATGTAGGCGTAGCGTATTTCACAAAAATCATTAAGATGAGTGATGAAAGACCTCCTAATGGATACGAAGACTGCAGCTTAAAGTGGGCTAAACCACATCACAAGCCCCGCAAGCTGCAGCCATCAAAACTCTAATTCTCTGCGACGGTGATGCAATCTTGTCAATATTTCTTATGAGATAAGGAAGTCGATCGCTATCCCAGTCATCAATGTTACCATTGCCAACGGAAATTTCGCCATCGGAGATTGAACTATTCTGTTCCTCCTCTAGAGCCTTCTCAGGTTCATAAAAGAGCATGTAGGCTTGGCAGTTCTGGACGGAAGAAAAATTAACGAGGTTGACATAGTCATCCGATGTGAGGACCCAGCCTTCGGTACTCTCTGTTCCAATCACCTCTCCTTTCCAATAGCGATAGGCAATATAGTGGCCTGCTTGTAGAGTATTTCCACGATGCACTATCACAGCACGAAGAGAGTAATTATTTGGTGTCCTATTAATGCACAAGGAGGCAAAATGTTAGAGCTACTTATTTCTATTTAAGTAGATATAAATTTGCAACACTTACGATCTGTTATTCGGAGCAAGATTGGAATCGGGCTTAAAAAGGTTATTCACACCCCGGAATGTGCCACCATTGGCTAGGTAGGAGGAAACATCCAGAGTGGCAGGAAAAGCAACGTGGTCGGAACATTTAATTGTCATTCCACCCTCACTAAAGTGATAAACAAAATCCTCAGCGCTGGGTGGAATATGCTTTAGTGGCAACCAGACAGCGCGTTGGACGTAGAAAATCAAAGGCGGGGCAACAGATAGAGGTGTCACTCTTTGAATAGTATCGGATGAGAGCGCAAACCACCGACGTGAGTAACAAGTATTTCGACACTCCGACTCGGCAAAGTGACGAAGAGCGCTGCGATCGATAATGAAGGGTGTTGGGTCATTTATAATATTCTCTGGTACACGCAATGCCTTGGCTTTGCATATGGGACAGTGAATTCCCGTAAGGCGTTCTGCATCACCAAACTCATCCTTCAGGAGATTATCCAGCGTGAATTTGTAGGCTGCCTTGGTTTTTTGTGAACGCCTCTTAGTGTGAAGTTGACGCGACTTTTCTATAAAGAGAAATAGAACACTCTCGAGATATTTAAAAAGAACATTTTGAAGGAGTAGTTCCAAAAAAACTCTTTTGTGCCCTCAGAATCTGCAACGCAACCAAGGCTGATCGAAAGTACCTCGTGAGCACCACAATCTTCACTTAACAATTTTCCTTTACAGTTTTGTAAAAATAACATGTTTGGAGTTCGCAATAAAAAAAACGACCTCACTCGATGATTTCTGGCTCATCACATTTCAGGTATTTCGCCTCCTAATATTGTGAATTGGGAATGATGATGGGGGTTAATCATCCTACATAAAGAACACAATCTACGACTGGGCAGATCAAGACTAACTGTTTATATGTTGCGACCATATCATTGAGTGGAGCAATTACTGCTGGTGTTTCTAGATGGGACTTTGGAAGAGTGATTTACATCGCAGATGGACCAGTTTGCCAAGTTCATGAAACCAGCGCGAAGAGACCAGCACATATTCTTCACCCGAATAGTCAACAAGCACAGACATTAAACTTCATGGATCCAATCCACAACAAAATATCTTAAATATTAAAAACGAATAAATGTGCACCCATGGTGTATTTCCCAGTGAAAGTAAGGCAGGGAGATAGTGACAGAGCACTTACCACAAACCACGTTATGTGGAAAAGGGGTGCCACAAAGATGATGGCTGTCAAAATCGTAATTAATATCCATTATGATATCAATACCAATACTACGACTATAAGAGGAATTAGCCCTTATCATGCTTGTCGATTCTGGAGTCCAGGTAAAGTAATGTTGCTGAAAACCTTGACTTTCGCTTCTACTGGCTATTTATCCCTAAAAGTTGAACCATTCTCCTCGTCAAATGTGTATATACTGAAGCATCACTCATCATACATAGTTGATAATTCGCTTTTTACCCAGTCTTAAATGCCGATTGTATGCAAGTCACTGTTAGCTCTGCAAACTGCAATCAGAGAAACAGGAAACAAACCTGGAAAAAGAATAATACAGGACTCAGGCACTAGTTTCAGTTGGCCCTTGTATCGACACTTGGAGCAGAAGATCTGAGAGACACATAGTTGGCAAAATGAGCTGAGAGGGGGAGGTAAAGAGGAGAGGCGATTAAGAGTAGAATTGGGTGAGAAACTGACTGGTGCAAAACAAGTGTAACGGTGGATTTTTTTCCCAATCGAGAAAACAGTCTCAGGGAGGCCCAAAATCGAGGAAACAAGGGCTTGAACCCCATCCCTACTGGAACCTGAAGTTTCTGTCCCAGTTCCTTGGTTCCTGTCATTGCCTTCCGCCAGATCGATAAAAAATGCGTAGAGTTCATGCACGTCCTAAAAAGGAATGCATGATCACAATTTCTAGAAATAACCTCTAAGTCCTTGTACAATGAAAAGCTAATGTAACTATCTCAGTTTGCATAGCAGGCCCCAATTTTATAACTTAACGAAATGATTCACATTACCGCCAATTATCGATGAAAGTGAGAAGACGACACAGACAGCAGAACGAACACTCGAAGGATAGACCAATTAAGACTCATCCAACTACAAAAATTCGTTTAAATTGAGGTTACTTAACTATCCCTTTTAGTACTTTTATTCCAACTTTCGTCAAGTTTTATGCTAATCATACCGATCAAGGAGAAGGCGAAAGAGGCTTCAAGCTCAAACCGCTTTACCAAGATGGATACTGGGAAAATATTTATAGTAATTTAATTACTGTCCAACCCATTTAGTTAATAGCTTTCCAAAACCAGTCTTGAGAAGAAGCACAGAGCTACCGTGGTTAAGAAATCAAAATTCGTCAACTTTACTAAACAAGTGAGCAACGATGAGCACTGAAACCCTGAGTTTCGAATTCGCAAGAAAATTTTTACCTGCCACACTATCGACACACATTGGCGTTTCATGTTTCAGAAATTTGACCTGTGGGAACTAACATGCCGAGGCAATAATTCATTGGCAAATATATATACATGCATAAGACGGAATCGACAAAATCAAGGCAGTGACGCAACAAATAAATCTGTCTTAGTCAAGTGTTGTGAAAGGTGAGATCAAAATGAATGAAGTCAGGTATCACTCGATACGACCAGAAAAAAACATAACCTAGTGTATTTATCCCAATGTAAAATTTTGGAAAAAAATCTGATATCTTCTAATTTAGAGCTCGTTTCAGACCAATGCAACACCAGCTCAGTCAAAAAGAGCCGTTGAATAGGCTCGAAATTAATCTACCCATTTTCGCCATATTGAAAATGGAAATTAAATTCAGACATCCATAAGATGATCGTTTACTATTAAACTTAAAAGAATATGAAAACAAAGAGATGTGTTTTATAATACATGTTCTTACTGGAATAGGCATGAAAAATGTGCAGAACCTGTATAATCACAAATAAAATATGACCATAGCCATAACGAGGCCATAAGATTGAGAGAATTGAATACGAATTCACTTATACTTTCGTTTTCAATCAAATGCATTTAACATCTCTCGTATACTTGCAAAAATAGCATCATAACGACATATAAAAGCTCTCATCGTTTACTCTATAAATTGAATAAGAGAAGTCGCTCTGACAATGAATTCCTCAAATCCAATTCACAGGTTTCAGCTGATTAGCTTTACATCTATGAGTAACTAGTTACAATAACCTAGAATTTAACTTTACATCGATATTTACGATGTCATCACACGAATACTTTACTCACATTTCCTAAAGGCACATTTTCTTATTACTTAACCCTGTAAATATTTCGAACATTTTCTACTTTTAGCAGCCAAATTAATTTATGCAAACCAATGCATAAAACCAGTAATTTAGCAGACAAATCACATCAAAGCAGCATTAAGGCACTAGCGAAGCAAAACAAGAGCAAAAAACCGTTATTTAGGGGTTGAACACTAAACCAAGTGATGCTTTAAATATACGCTTCTGGAACCTAACATGCACGCATCACTAGAGATCGTACTGCAATATGGCGCAATAGCTTAAGTGCAAAAGCCGTTATCAAATATATGGCGAAATGCGTTAAAACACAATGACCTTCAAATCTCACCTGCTGAACGCCAACAGTCCATTTCCCGGTTCGTGCCAATTCTTCGACTAACATTTTGTGTGCCAAAAGAATCATATCGATGAGGTCATTGTTCTTTAGATACTTGGAAGAGCAATTAAGTCCTGGAAAATAGAAATAAAGATGAGTTTTAGGTTAATATTAAGTATTTAATAGTCGATTAAAAATCTTACCTTCCAAGACGGTGACAAGTAAATACAGAAGTCGACTGCTCCTATTAGCAAGACTTCGTCTAAAAGATTTCACTAGAAGGTGACACGAAGCCATAGCCTGAAGCAATGCATTTAAATAGCACAAATTAAGGTTATTGGGCAATCCAATAGGTAAATCATCATTTCTGCCTGTAATTTAAAATAAGACATGTATAAGTAAATTAAGATTAATAAAACCGACAATAAAAATCGCGCACCGAAATGTGGAAAAGGGAGAGCGTTGCGTACATATGGAAATGCAATTCCTCCAAAAGCGAGAGAAGTACTTCCAACCAATAATGCTAAAACTACTCGTTTCCTGTTATTCAGCCATGGTTGTTGGGTAACCCCTTAAAATATAAATATCAAAAGTACTTACAGTTCAAATTTTCAAATATAAAAGCTGGTTTTTCTGGAAGAGAATACATGACAAGGTATTTTAAAATTCAACACTATTTACACTTCCGACAATACAAACCGGAACAAAAAGCACGTTAAACAGTGATTTCCAAGGTTAAATTATCGTATCAACCAATTGGATGATGGCGTGAAAAAAAACGTAATGTGGTGTAATTATAGATGCGAGCATTAAACTTCAAAATGTAGCATTATTGTTAGATTCAACCTACTAAAATAATCGATTGTGTGTTTATGTATGTGCGATCTATCATTATTTATAAGTTTTGCCAAAGAGTAAAAAAGGAAAAGCACCTTCGATTACAATTAGTAATATCTTCTGAAACTTCTTCTACTCTATTTGATCATATAAATTTCTATTCATTCATAAATATAGAATTTGGATATTTTATACGAAGGTAACACAGCGGAATTTAATTCAATATGCATGGCCGTGAACTCCCTTGAATTTACAATAATAATGTTTTATGGTAACCAAACATTCACTCAAAGTATTTGAAAATTATGCACCGTCCTTATCAGATAGTTTCTATTTACTTAAATAATTTCTTTCCGGTCTTAATCAAAATAGATACCGTTTGTGTATTCGAACACACCTGTTAGAGTAAGGTAACTGAGAGGTACGATGTTTGTTTGAAGTAAAAGTTCAAAATGGGTTAGAAATTGATACAAATTTTTGATCTGACCCCAAAAGGAAATTTAATCTTGTTTTTCGCTAGCTGTACATTGTCATGTATGATCATAAGAATTTTCCAGTTGACTTTGTTTTTGATTCGCTTCATTCATGAAACGTATCATCGAGAGTATATGATATAATGAAAGCGCTCGGAGGGTAGATTTTAGCACATAACCCGATACAAGTTTATAAGGAGGTAGCAACCTTGGAACAATGGCTATCCCTCCCTTAAAGTTCACTATTGGAATACCCAATTTAACATATAAAATAAGAGCATTTCCCACCACACATGCTGCGTTATTACCAAAATATTATAACAAAGCTAAAAAAGAAATAAATTAATCGATTAATAGTTTATAACGATTAAGTAATCAGTTATAATTTCGGGCGAGTTCACCGCATGAAGAGTGGAAGTCGTCTTGTGTTAACTTATTTTTGATAAATTCTCTTACTCGTATTTATCATAACAAAATCTCGGCAAAACAGAACAGCCCGATTTCGTATGGTTTAACAAATGTAAAATATATTTGAGTCTCCTTGAAATAGAAAGTAAATCATGAGAAATGATTCGTGATATTTGAAGCATTTCCCGTGATTGCTCCTTGATTTTAGAAATTTAAAAAAAAATTAATTTAAGCGTGGATCCTATTCAAAGTCACTGATTTCATATTTCATGTTTTCCATTATAGTATAACTATGTTTCAGTGTTGACTCCACTTTGGTATTTGATTAGGACTTACATGAGTAGTAAAAGTATTAATAGAGAAATCATTCGATATTCGACTTGGTCTCACAATTTCAGATTCTTTCAAAGGCTAGAAAGAGTCCAGGCTTTTGCTTTCCAATTTAATAAATCCTAAATAATTATTCAAAATCATCATTAATTCTTGCCCAACTTCTTCCGACACAGAGTTCTGAAATAAAATCACGAAACTGGGATGAATGTAATACTAAAAAATATGAAAGTCTGGCTGAGACTTTTCCTACATTTGGTTAAGTAAAGGTCTCAAGTACGATTTTTTGCAAGTTATACGTGGTATTTTTAGGTCCTAAAACCTTGCAATTTACAATTTGTAATGTTAGATATTCCTCTAAAACACGTCTATTCAAATATCCCTTAACTATTACAAATTAGATGTAAACACAAAACGCTCATAGTAAAATGTACTATTCCTCCGAAATCTGCTTTAAATGAATGAGGCATACATACAACAGTCGCTATTTGAATAAGTAATTTGATTTACTACTTAACAAATTCTATGATATTTTGTTCAAATAAAAAGTGTCCCAGTAAAACTGCGAATTTGCCATCTGTCCAACTAGGTTTTTCTGTTATTTCCATGGGTCATATCAGTGGCCCTTTTCCCACTTCTAAGGGCTACATGTTTTTATAGTAATTAACTACCAATTAGCGCGATTATTTATTTTCACATATTTATTGTTTTGGCCCTTAATTGCTCACCTTACCAAAGTACGACTCTTCAATGGTGTAGTATGCCTAGGAGATCAAGTTCTGCTACTATGGTACATCAGCTCACTAGACATTGTCGGGGAACTTCTTTTTCAGATCCGGAAGGGCAAGAAGGAAGGACAGATGTGCTGTTACTTTATGTTGGCGACTCCTTATCAGTTTGATTTCTATTCTGTAGTCACTCTCAGCTGTATGTAGTTTTTAAAGAAGACTAAAATAGTCCAAATTAAACAGGATTATTTAGTTGTCTGTCGATTTAACCTAGAATTTAAAGAAACTTTAAAAAAGGTTGGCAATTACAGTAGCCACCTCGCACCTAATATCGCAAGTTATGAATACCCGAACGAAATGAAGTACTTTTGAAGGTGCATATGCTAAGATGATTTGGGAAAATCTGTACAATTAGACATAAACGAGCTTTTTAATAAGGAAGTGTTTATTTATTACAAGCTTTCAAGAAACCTGATAAATGTTTTCTATTAGATAATTCAGAAAAGAACAACAGTGGTAAAATATCGATCGCTGAAATCGATGCTGAGCGTTTGTGTGGTTTAATAAATTAGAAAGCGCGCAGACCTGCACCTGGCCACAACCAATAAGACTATTGGCACGTGGGCCAATAGACTGGAGATGAGTGGTGTTCACGGACGAAACTTCCCAAACGCAAGTTATCAATTCATTATTTTGAGATGGCTCTTTCTCTGCCACAAGTAGCATTAGGTTATTCTTCACAAACTTATCGACGCCCAACTTCTGTTCCAAGATACTCAAACTCTTCCAATACCTCCGTTACAAGTAACCAACTTGTCAATGAAGTTATTAAAAAGCTTCTACAGCTTCAATTAGTCAGCCGTATGGAGAGTTTGTCGATGAAAGAAGATGACTATCCTATACAGTTTTCACCACCTCTACTTTCAAGTAACTCATCAATGGATACGAATATCCATTCAGGGTCTGGAAGAAGTCTCTATAAAACGGAAATATGCAAACGCTACATGATGAACCCAAACTCAACATGTGAATATGGCGTGCGTTGCCGATTTGCTCATGGATTGAAAGAGCTTCACTTGACTGCTCGTCATCCGAGGTACAAAACAGAGCATTGTCGAGCTTTCCAGTTAACAGGAACTTGTCGATATGGCAAACGTTGTGATTTCATTCACAACGAGACCGAATACGAATTGGATCTCATGAGAACAGAAAACGCTCTCTATCAAGAATACTGTTTCCGTCACCCATGTGTAAAGCAAGTCACCTTGTTGGAGGTTCTTCGGGAATTTGGTCCAATTAGACCTGAATTTAATCGACTGCTTAATCATGTGGAGACTCACTAAATATTTGTTCGTTAATATATTCAAGATTATTAACTTATGATACCATTAAAATGGCAAATATATATTATATAGTCATTAATCTGCTTAGTTTTTCCTTTAGCTAGAACGAAGCGGATCTATATTTCGACATATGGAGAAGGGGAGATTTATTGAAAGCCTATACCTAGATGGGATAGAAAACCTTGCTAATTAAGTTAACCACTATTAGATATTTGCCAGAAAGTTTGAGTTAAGAGAACAGCTCACTTTGCAGGAACTGAGTTCAACTTGATTTCATCGCTGAATTTCGATCAAGATTCCCAAAAAAATGAGCTACCGGTTTGGGGCAGATTTTCTTCTTATTGGTACGTAATGAAAAACCAAGAAATGTAGTTCGATAGAAAAGATCGATTAATGGAGCACAGAATTCTGAAACCTACACCGAACCGGTTAAGTAATGCACCCGTGCGCTTCGATCAATAATGGAAAATGGATTTTATCTTTCAGTTGCACACTAATCCTGAGGAAAAGTATTAGATATTTCCATTTAAATTATGGTAAATTTTACAGTTCATTTTTTGAATGCCTTCCATCTTCAAAAGCCCGATTTTAATCCATGCTATAAACAACAAGACTGATCAAATTAATATAGATTATTTAAGCTAGTTAACAAAATCTAGACACACGATTTACAGAATATGATTTAAGCAGTCTATCACAGTTTAGGAGAAAATGAGGGAATCGTTATTGCCTCCTTGGCGTTGTAGCAATTCATAATAACGACCTTTTCTTCGAATTAATTCATCATGAGTTCCTTGCTGAAATTTAAAGACACTTTGAGTTAGTTATTAGGAGCTTAAAGAAGGTTCCGATGCACATGACAATTATTCAGAAACGTAAAATTTTAAATAAAGGGCTTTCATAAGCCCTAGGAAAGCACAATAAAGACAAAGGGAGGCAAATAACAAAGTAAGATCAATAAAGTAATAAGTTCTCCGAAATTGAGGACAAAATCAATTAACAAAGCCGAAGTATATTATTTCTTCCAGAAGAGCTGCATCCCGATCCCTTTCAAAATCATGATCTAATTGAACTCACTCTCCAATACCATCACTTAAGAAGATTAAGTGAACTTAATTAAAAATGCTACATGTGGTGTCACGATCTATTCAATATCTGCCATACTTCAAATTATACTACTTCCCTAACAACCAAGGTCGCTCCTCATCTTGCTCAATTTACGAATATAAGCAAATCAATATTGATGTGATATAACGTTGACTTAATAATCTGAATGATGCAATTTCGAATCCAATGAAAAATTTATTTATTTCAAATGGCAGGCTTTATGATATTTATTATTAGCCCTTTCAAATCAAATGCCGAATGATAAACTTTTTTTGCCGTAGGAAGATACGTCGTCCAGGGTGCACCACGTGGAGGTAAGTCTATCGCGCATCCCCCAATGAAAAATTGAAGGGAAGAATTAATTCTGAAGCTCCTGGTGGAAAATTCGAACTCCATCAAGCCCTGCTGATTATTATTACACGCTTAATCAGAATAGAGCAGATACATTGTTGTGGATAGACACCATCTGAACTCCACAGTCCACCCCACAACGCACATATTAATTCTATCCCGAATAAGAAACTCTAAAAGCTATTGTAGTCATCTTTTTCTGTGTCCTCTTCCATTGATCAAAGAAGCAGTAAAAAGCGTAGTCTAACTAGGAAGGTCTATGAGACGGGGGGGGGAGTATACAAGATGTACATAAGATGAAGATAAGAAGCACGAAATAAAAAATAGAAACAAAAGAGGAGAGGAAGCGGCCATTCGATTCGATGATCACAACTCCCTGATTAAACGAGGAAGATAAAATGAGTACATGTTCTGACCGAACCAAAGGCCATACTGACCTTCCATGCTTGACTTCTTCATTGGCTCATCATTAGCCTACTAAGGTACGACTTCCACATTTCCGCTGAAGAGCTTTTGGGGGGCTTATCAGAAGTCTAGTTGCTGGCAACAAACCCGTTAATTAACTGAGGTGATTAACAAATTGAGTCCATGAGCCCGAACACTTTTACCCATTCAATCCACCATTTCTTTCACGACACTCTGGGAACTTGAGTGAAAATCTTCGCTTCTTAATCCTGATTCATGTTCAATAAGAGGGTTGCCGCCAATGAACAGACAACATTGCCCTCAATTAGCATTCCTTAGTCTTTATTTGCATTATTTTGTTACGAGGCGTTTGGCCTGTTGATCTGCAGTCAGAGGTCAAGGGTTTGAAACATATGGCAAACCGCAGTGACTGCATCTGGTCAATAAGGAGGCAGTGGAATAGAGTCTTCCCACCAGAGAGGATATTTGATGTTACCTCTCTAACCAAGATGAGAGCTTGAAAATGCTTCCACAAAGAGCTTAGGAAGTTATTTGTAAAAAAATTGAAGAATGAAAACTTGCCTCCACAATTTTTCCCTTGTGCATAACGACTATGAGATCCGCTCGGCAAATTGTGCTCAAACGATGGGCAACAATCAGGACCGTACGTCCTGAAACAGACAAGATAAGAGGTGGGGGTTAAGAATAGAGGCTTTAATTTTTGTCCATTAGCATATTCACGATCGCTTTCCGATTTCGTAGCCACAGTTTCCCCCAATAGGATACTTTAAAGCCTATCTTAAATACAAGACTAAAAATATGATCAAAATACCTTTATTTGTCTGTTAAATGGACTACCGTCTAAGCAGGCCCACAAATATGACCATCTGAAGTGAGTCTCTAGTCGTACCAGATTTTCGATTAGAAAACTAATACCAGTCAGTTAATCTGATCCCTTTTTACAGAGCTGTGTGTGTGTGTGTGTGTGTGTGTG